CTGTAATACCTCTGTCCATGGTAATGGGATTAGCACATGATTAGCAGGTCAAAGGTGTGGGTTTAATCACTTACTTGACCCAACATGTTGACATGGGTTTTAAGTAGATCAAAATTGCTGATTTAGAAGTATTTTGTCTACCTTTCTTATTAAATCTTTACAGCTCCCTGTCCCCATTCTGTATTTCTGTTGATTGCATCTTTGTTTTGTTAGATTGTGAGGATTAAATACTTTGTGAGCAAATGCTGAATGTATACCACTCAGAAGAACTAAGAACAGCTGATCCTCTATTGATACTATAGTTAATCTGTCAAAAATGATTTGTCTAGGATTTCAAGATTACAACTTAAAAAAAATTACAGTTGATCTTTCATGGCATTTCAAAACATCTGTTACAGATTATTTTATGATAATTGTGATAAATAACAATGTGTGAAGCCCTTTTCTGCTGTTCTGTGCTGTTTCTTTGCTGGAATATTTTCTTTGCTGGAATATTGCTGGAATATTGGTAAAGCAGCGTAAAACCTTTCATGTCAGCAGTTAGCATCTTCATGTCGAAGGCCCGGGTTCGATTCGCCACATGGGTACAATGTGTGAAGCCCATTTCTGGTGTTCCCCACCCTGATATTGCTGGAATATTGGTAAAAGCAGCGTAAAACCTGACTCAATCATTTCAAAACCATGATAACATGTTTATCATGTTCACAAAGGAAACTGGGGCAGTAGGGTTGCATCTTGGTTAAAGAGTATGCTCGTCATGTCGAAGGCCTGGGTTCGATTCGCCACATGGGTACAATGTGTGAAGCCCATTTCTGGTGTCCCCTGCCCTGATATTGCTGGAATATTGCTAAAAGCGGCTTAAAACTAAACTCGCTGACTTGCTCACTCACAAAGGGAACTGATGATGAACGATCTCATTGTATGATTGTTTCAATACCAAGCGTGATCAGTTCTCTTTTCAAACCAGTTGATACCCAAGAAGATCTGGGTTAGGGAATCCTGGATCTGGGAACTGGTTTTCAGCAAACCCATGTTTGTCGTAGGAGGCGACTAGGGAATCAGGTGGAATCACCTGATAGCACCATGAATCCAATCAACAGCATCATCTGTGCCACTCCTATACACAGCCTGATGACTTTTCGACAGTTTTGAAAGTGTTGTCCTTGCTTTTTGCTGATTCGGCTGTGCAGATGCAAATCAGATTGAGTGGAATAGCTTAGATTTCCCATTGGAAATCAGGTATTGAATCTAAAGGCCCTGAGTGGGTGTGTTGTTTGTTGGATCAACTCTCATAAAACTGTGTGTTGTAGTGTTGTAATTATATAATTATTATAATAATTCATGTATTTATTATACAGTGTTGTACTCTGATACGATGCTCACCATACAGTACATCAGTTGCAGTACGGCATTCATTGTAGTTTCTACTGATGTAAAATAATGAATAATGACAGAAACTGCTCAAGAACAAGTTTATGCAGATTCTCTTGAATTTTTCCGATTTAGCTAATCTTATATGTTTCTCCCCTACAATGTATCATTGACATTTACCATTGTAACCATTGCAACCAGTTTCTTCATGCGATGCATCACAAGTTGATAAACTTCTCCTAAGTTTTTGCCCTCAACCTCTCTTATCGTCAAGTTTCATCAACCCGTGAAGATCCGGGTTAGAATTGATCTTCAGTAACCCTTGCATGTCGTAAGAGGTGACTAATGGGATCGGGTGGTCAGGCTCGCTGACTGGGTTGACACATGTCATCTGTTTCCAGTTGCGTAGATCGATGTTCATGCTGTTGATCACTGGTTTGTGTGGTCCAGACTCGATTATTTACAGACAGCCGCCATATAGCTGGAATATTGCTTTCTGCAGCGTAAAACTAAACTCACTCACTCAAGTTTTATCATCCTATTCCACCTGTATATAATGGCAGTCTGTAAATAATCGAGTCTGGACCAGACAATTTGGCCTTGATCTGTGTTAGTGGATATAGCTGGGATATTGCTGAGTGCGGTGTAAAAGTACACTCACTCACTCACTCACTCACTCACTCACTCACTCACTCACTCACTCACTCACTCACTCACTCACTCTCTACTCACTCACTCACTCACTCACTCACTCACTCACTCACTCACTCACTCACTCACTCACTCACTCACTCACTCACTCTGTAAGTGACATGCAGTCAACCAAGTCAGCCTTTGCTTGTTCCACTGATCTAGTTCAGGTTGCGCGGAACATCTGTATTTACCTGGAATCCATAACTGTGAACAGATCAGGTTGAATATAAAATGTGTTATATTTGGATTACACTTTCTCAGTAAGGTACAGATTCTAGTACTTAATTTGGTTGAGTCCCATCTGGGATTCGAACCCACACTGAGAGTCAGACACCTATTCACCAGCACACAAAGTCAGTACTATAACCCACTCAAGCACTGCGGCTTCCACAAAATGGAAGTCTGACGACTGGTAGTCTAGATCACATGACACTGCATTGTTTTCAAGGAAAGTGGCATTGATTACCTCTGTGTAGGACTCCCAGTGTAAATCTCCCGTGTATATCAGTGTCGAGTGTGTAGGAATGACACAGGACACTTGTCTGTTTCAGTTGTTTTTGCCAGATGATGAAACTACTAATGGTAACAATGGTAAATGTCAACTGTTGATGGGTGTCGATTTCACTGTCACACTCTAATTTCACTATTTTACAAGAACGTTACATTTGTGTCATGTGTGTGATAGATGGCCATCAGTAATGGCTGCTGTTAGTAACTTGCATTTTATTTTAGGCCTAAAAAAAAATAAATGTTGTGGTTCCGATTAACCGGCCGACCCTTGAATTCTGGTGCCGAACCTAGTTTTTTACAGGTATGAATAAAATAAGCTTTCAGATACCATTGTTTTTTTTCCTGGCACCAACGGACATTGGTCATTCTGATAAAGAAAGTCGACATGATGGCCACAAGCTTGATTGAATAAACAATTACACATTGATAAATGTGTTATTAGTTCGTACTCTACTTCTAAAAAAAAGAGAGGGGCGGTGGGGTAGCCTAGTGGTTAAAGCGTTGGCTCGTCACGCCGAAGACCCGGGTTTGATTCCCCACATGGGCACAATGTGTTAAGCCCATTTCTGGTGTCCCCCCGACGTGATATTGCTGGAATATTGCTAAAAGCGGCGTAAAACTAAAACTCAATCAGTCAGTCAGTCTAAAAAAAGAAAATGTAAAAATAAACCCCCGATTTTATAAATTAAAAAGTTACAGTTAATAAATATCTCCTAATGTAATGGCTCAATATTTGTGAGAAGGTTTGCCCTTGAAAAGAATATTTGAGGAGAAATATTTGATTATTTGTGTCTTAGCTAAAGTAATTATCACTCTAATGTCAAGACAGGGTAAATATTTTAAGTGCTGCATATTTGAGAAGTTCAAACATAATTGCACTGAATTGACCCTTTTTCTGTAAAGTCTGAAATGAAAGTTATATAGGGACATTTATAGAACCATCTTTTTTAAAGTGCTTCTGGATGAATTTCTTTTAATGTGTAAATATGGTTAATACTGGCTTATGTCAGTTGGGCATACATTATAGACTCGACTGGGTTTTGAAATTTTAAATGTAAATATGTTTTATCAAGATGTCTCAGTACGAAACATCAGGTCCATTATTGTTTTGCATTTTCTTTTTTAAGGTATTGTTTCTGAATTTAGCAGGTTGACATGACCTACAAATTGAATATTTTATTCAGTTATATGGGTTAAATTTTCAAACAAAATGTAAAATTGTTCTGCCACAACATGAGTTCATGTTGTATTACTGTAGGCTTTGTTTTTGAATTAGTGACTTATTTTTAGAGCTGTGACGATATATCTTAGTATCGATAATCGTGATACTTTATCTGACGATAAATATATTGATACATTTTTTCGTATCGTGATATGTATCGTTGACTTTGACATTGTTAATTTTCATTAGATATCGATGGTTAAGTCAAAATTTCTTGCTATTAAAATAGGATTTTTTAAGGAAAATAACTAAAGAAAGCATATCGTGATATGCATCGAATCGAATCGTATCGTTCCAAGATATCGCGATACGTATCGTATCGTGAAATTTCTGTATCGTCACACCTCTACTTATTTTGTGATAAAATACAGAAACAAATCTGCTGATAACTCTTAAAAAACTGTAATATTCCCAGTTAATGTGTACTATTCACTGTCGTCAGTATGTCATAGAATGAATGTGCTTTTTTAACTTCTTTTGAGTTCATTGTGTCTCTTCCTACCATAACTGTGTTTTCTGAGCCAGAGTTGATTATTAATAGACTGACATCAGCATTATTAATGCCTTCAGAGTAGGATGCCGGGTTGCCATCGACGTCACAAAAGAGCCTGACTATCCCAAACATTGTGGTTCCCTTATAACCAGAGTAGGGTGATTCCTATAGTCACTGCAAGAATAATAGTGGTCGACCTTGACCTTGGCCTAGACCTTGACCTTCGATGGTGTATACTCATGCAAACGAATTAGGTCTGATGAATCTATTCATGGATGTTTAGTCAAGTAGGTTGGTGATGTTTTGTTTTGAAGGTCAGTTCTTTTCCGATGTAAAGTGTTGAGACTGTTTTACAGAAGATTGTCTTTTCCTCATCTGCAGCATCAGGGAATCCCTGATGACACAGAATATGTCCTGCAACTTGTAGCAACATCAGTTCTACCAGTGTTATGATTGATTATTTTAGCTCATACTCAGATTTGTTATGTGACCTGTATTTGGAGTCCACTTGTTCAAGTTCATGTTATGTGCCTACAATTGTCTCCATTTTAGATTGAGAAGTTCCTTCACAACGCCATTGTATCGGCAATGAAAGTCATTGTTACAATTTATCATGTGAATCTGTATTACTGTATCATTGCACTAAAAAAATAAGGGTATTTTTCTGACCTTCACCTTCACACATTTTGACCTTGACCTCATTTGTTCCAGGATGACATGAACCTGACCGAAGAGAAGAAGGCTCCATTACGATCCCGCGATGAGAACTTCAAGAGGTCTATGCTAATCATGCATTACAAGGGCAAGGCTAAGGTAACCAATCAACAGCCAGAGTCACAGTCAGACAACAAAGACAAATGTTCAGTTATAAACAGTGGCGTCAAAGCTTAAACTCACTCACTCACTTACTATTAGGTTTACTGAAAGTGTTCTTATTTGGCGTACTTGGCAGAAGAGCTTTAGTCTTTGTCTTTTTTCTCTGTGATTATTCTGGGGTTTCCACGTGCTTGGAAAGGACTTGAGTTCAGCTGGTGGTATGGGCTGTCCAGTTGTCCTGCCATCAGGCCCCGATTTCTCGAAACAAACTTAAGTTTTTACTCAAATTTCAAACTGAGTTTGACAATTTGAAACAGCTGAATTTTGAACTCAACTGCATTTTTTAAATAAAAGAGCCCAAACATCTTAAGTAATCTATCCACCAAACTCAAATTGTCCACTATGTTTGAGTTTATTATTGATTTTAGTTCATTCTGGGAAATGAATTTTCTCAAATTTGAATAAAACTGTAACATAAGTCAAAACTCAGACTTATGAGAAATCGGAGCCAGGTCCCTTAAACTACAAGGCCTATGGAGCTGAACATTTGCATGAATATTCAGAACCATCGGGTCTCAATAAAGACACTCAGTGCGGATCTCAAGAAAGACTCTCAGTGCGGATCTCAAGAAAGACTCTCAGTGCGGATCTGATAAAGAGCATCACCACAATGGTGTCTATGTTGAAAATGTCATTTTTGGCCATTCGACTTGAAGCATGATGGAATTTGATTTGAATTTACTATGTAACTTTATGTGATCCTCGCTCTGTCACTCTGAAAAGTGCTCACAGTATTGCATATGAGCTTCAGAGCCTAATGGTCCCATCTTCAGGTCTTCCTGGAAGTGCCTTGCATGTAGATACTGTTCTGATGAAGGTATTGAAAATGGACAATGTGCCTTGAAAACACCTTCCTTACATGACCTATCAAGAAAATAGCCTGAACATTGCCTTCCTCTTCTACAAATAAATTCAAGAAGGATAAATCTGTTCAAATCTTCTGGGCAGTAACCAGAGGGATTTTGTCTGCCTCACGTGCAAATAGTTACGTCCAAACTGCGAATATGCATACCAAGGTTTTGTCATCAGAATTTTTCATGACTTTAACAAGGGGCGGTGGGGTTGCTAAGTGGTTGAAGCATTTATACGTCACATACAAGACCCAGGTTCGATTCCTGCATGGGTACAATGTGTGAAAGCCCATTTCTGGTGTCCCCCTTGCTGGGATATTGCTAAAAACGGTGTTAAACCATACTGACTTACTCATGACTTACTTGTTATGATAAGTCAAGTCTTCTATTTCCTTTTCAAATTTACACGTGCAGATTTAGGATTTGTGTTTATCAACCCATGCTTGCTGTGAGAGGCGACTAACGGGATCGGGTGGTCAGGCTCGCTGACTTGTTTGATACATGTCATCGTATCACAGTTGCGTAGATCGATGCTCATGCTGTTGATCACTGGATTGTCTGTTCTATACTCGATTATTTACCGACCGCCGCCATATAGCCATAATATTGTTTAGTGGGGTGTTGAACAACAAACCAACCAACCATTTCAAACTTAAACAATAAACAATAAGTCTACAAATGGAACATTTGAGATTACAGATCAGTTCAATTTATCATGCACACTGACTTTATTATCAAACCCACTGCCTTGTTTCAGCCTCGGAAAGGAGAGCCGGATGGGGCACAAGATTTCATCATTCAGTTAAAGAATGCAGATCTCAAAGGAGCAAAGCGGCTCAGTGTGTTGGAGTCTCTACGAGTGTCGCTGACTAGTAACCCTGTCAGGTATATGACTGATCAAAGATTGATATCTTTTAGAATCAAGCTTCTCAATATTTATATCATAATAATTGACAGGAAAAAAGGAGGGAGGTTGGGTTGCAAAAATATATCACAATGATATTGGAAGGATTATATACTGGGATTTCCCATATTTAAGCCAACTCGTAATTATTGCCATACGGAACCAGACATTTTACACAGCTAGGCAAAAATTCTGCTGGTTTGATGAAGTTTTTGTTATGCGGTCCCTGGAGGTGTATGATGGGATGTACCGAGAGTGTGATCCAATAATACGGGTTGGTAGGCCAGATGGGACATCACATCATCTGCCTTACCTGAGACATGTCCACGGCTAATTACTTCTTCCTTCATGTACCTTACCTATATCACATCGTCACACTGGAGACCCGGGTTTGATTACCCACATGGGTACAATGTGTGAAGCCCATTTCTGGTGTCCCCCGCTGATATTGCTGGAATATTGCTAAAAGCGACGTAAAACCATACTCACTTGCTCTATCAGGTCATTGACTTAAATTCCTGTTTTGGCAGAAAGCAGAAAATCTCAGTAAAATTATGTCAGTTTCCAACATTGCTCACATATCTGATAGTTGTGAGGAAAAGCTCATTTTTTGAGGCGATGCATCTCTGTATGTGCAACTTGAGACCACAACTCATAACCTAAACTCTCTCCATCAGGATACAGTGAATCTACAACAATCGCAATCATCTGGGACAAGGCTAAATGGTGGCATCATATGCATCATAATCTGTAGTTGCCTAGCAACGGGATACTTGGCACACTTATTTATTGTCTAGCCTGGGGGAATATACCGATTAGTCTATTCCTACCATATTAGGGTATAGGGTGTACAGATAAAGTGGTTATTAGCCAAGTTTCAAATATATATATGAGGTATTTGAATTGTATTGTTGAGCCTTTTGGCTATATCAAAATATGAGAGAAATAGTCTCTTTATCCTTATAATAATTCTAAAAATATAAAGTGAAAGACATTTCATGAATGATACCAGCTTTGGAAATAGTGTAGGAATACAATATGTGAGTGAACCCCCCGGGGGATTCACAATGAATTTAAGTTTGTTTACTTTTTCAGGTTATATTTTTTTTAAATCAGTGTAACTACCCGAGTGTTTAATCAAAGTGGTTCATGCAAGATCACCTCATTTCATGTTTATTGGATTGACAGTTATGTAATTTTATGATGTACAAATATTATCAAAAGATAATATTTTGTTTTCAGTAACTTCAGTAGCAGGATAATGAATATGTGTTTCACCATTTCGTTCCAGTTGGGTCCAGGGCTTTGGAGAACAAGGACTCAATGCTGTCCTGCGTAATTTGACATACTGCTGTGATTCGTAAGTTTTGGTGTATTGGAACAAAATATTTTCAGACATTGGTATTTAAAAAATCCGGTTTGTGATTACTTCTTTAGGAGATGGTATGATGAAGAGAAACAATGTTTATGGATGGACAACTTCTTTATTGCAGGGGCGGTGGGGTAGTCTAGTGGTTAAAGCGTTGGCTCGTCACGCCGAAGATCCGGGTTCGAATCCCCACATGGTTACAATGAGTGAAGCCCATTTCTGGTGTCCCCTGCCATGATATTGCTGGAATATTGCTAAAAGTGGCGTAAAACCAAACTCACTCAGTCAGTCAGTCTTTATTGCAATAGATTCTATGGTGTTATCATACATCTAAACGTCACATTTAATGCAGTAAAGAAGTTGTAAAGCCGTACTAATTGTTCCTCTTGGTGTGTGATTCTTGGTCCAGTAATTCTGACAGTCATTGGTGTTTCTGGGAAAACTTGTTTATCGTGATGGAGCTGGCTGCAACATTCCCTGTCTCTATTAAGGCATGATGACCCAGTTGTTTAAGGTGCCTCAATTCTCTGTACAGGGTTGTGTTCCTTGGTAATGAAACCTGTGATTGTGGGTTCAAATCATGGTCCGCCCCGATGTTGCCAGGTTTGTCAGCACCATGTCCTTGTGGGTTTCACCAAAGAGGTCAATGTCTGAGACTTGCACATCCTCAATAATCTCCTGGGTATACGTTCCGATAAACCTCCGCAAGTACCCTGGATGCATCTACGGCTCGGCCCGATGCTTTTATTACTTCCCTTTGCTGGCTCCACCATCTCACAGTAGCCAGTCAGAAAAGCTGTTACAACCGAGCTTGCCAGTGTCAATAAAGATAGCGGTCACAGACACGAAGGTTTGTTCACAGTGCGACTCAGATTTAGGGGGAAAATCATACAGACAAATTGACAGGTCTGAAACCTTAAAATGACAGGTCTGAAACCTTAAAAAAATATGTGCGAGAACTCCTCCTACCTCTTTCAGAGTACCTCTGCAACAATTATGTTACAAAGTTTAATCGGTTAGATAAAAGAAGCAAAAGTGAGGTATGCTCAACTTCCCAGCATAGACACCTGATTGGATAAAAAGCCAGCCAAGGGGATAATAAAATCATGGGGCTGTGCCGTAGATGCATCCAGGGTATAGTGAGGATTTATCAGAACATACACCCTGGATATTATCGAGGATGAGACTTGCATTACTTCAGAATTTCTTCCTACACAAAAGTCCAAAACACTTCTGCCCGCATCATTTATCGTCTCCCTAACGCTGCCATATCAAGCCAGTACTGAAGGAGCTTCCCTGGTTGCCCATCAAAGCCAGCATCGAGCATAAGATACTGTGTCTGACCTACAAAGCCAAGCATGGTCTTGCTCCCCAGTACTTGTCTAACATGTTGTCATCATACTCCAGTTAACGCAATCTTCGTTCCAACAGCCAGGATGTGCTCACTGTGCCCAACTTCAGACTGAAAAAAAACTTTTGGACAGCGCTCTTTCACCTATGCAGCCCCTACTCTCTGGAACTCACTTCCTTATGACCTCAAAACTATTTACAATTTTGACTTGTTCAAGTCCAAACTTAAAACCTACTTCTTCCAGCAGTATCTCCCTTAATGTGCTCTAGTATTACTTATGTACATATGTACATTCTTGACTCTTTAGCGCCTTGAGCATGTCTGTCGAGTCGGATTGGGCGCACACATAAATATGCATTATTATTATTATGATTATTATTATTATTACAACAAGCTGACAACTTGAATACCATTCAAAAGCAACCTTAACCCAATTCACTCACTTGCATGCATATTGTACTATTTGTAGCTCAAGTCAGTTTAAAAAGTGAATATATCTAATAATCATTTACATACATTAATCTGGACAGATCTGGAAGAGAAATCTGCAAGAAATCTAATATTTTGTTTTTTGTGTTTTCGCTGCACTCAGCAATATTCAAGCTTTATGGCAGCGGTCTGTAATTAAGTCAAGTTTGGACCAGACAATCCAGTGATCAACTGCATGAGCATCGATCTACGCAATTGGGATACGATGACATTGTGTTAAGCTCCCTATCCTGTTTGTCACCTCTTACCATAAGTATGGGTTGCTGAAGACCAATTCTAACCCGTATCTTCATGGGTGCCAAAAATCTAGTTTAATTATTAGCATAAGATTGATGACTATTTGAATTCATTGAGTAACTGCTCACCTACCATGGAAACTTAGGTCAGAACAGAACCCAAGAGCTTATCATAAGATGTCACTCAAGTGGATTGGTTGGTCAAAACCTGTGATATTTGTTGATTGCATGTCATAACTCGATTTCATTGGCTGTTGGCCAGATATGGATTTGTCAGGCCTAGATACAGTTTGACATTCTGCATTGATATAGGTCGTGTATTTATGAAAAATGACATTTACATTCAAGAAAAACAACTGTTTTCTCACTGTGTGAAATATTTCTTCCAGGAAGTCTGAAAGGAGAAGCACCTACGAGTGTGTGCGATGCCTGAAGGCATACATGAACAACAAGGTAAGAGATAGCATGCCTGCACACGTCTAACATTTACCTGGATTACATCTCGTTAGAATTTAATTATTTTTTTAATCTTTTGAATTTTTGAATGTTCATACCTGTTATTTGCTTATTAATAAGATTTTAGAATGCTTTGAAAGTTTGCAGTCCAAATTAGGTACCTTACTTAAGTACTAATTTTGATATTTGTGGTTTTACTGTTAAGGGACAGACAGTGTGTTATTGTTGGTGGTGTGACTAACTTGTGGGAGTAACAAGTATAATTCCATCATGGTGTTACAGAAATATTCAGTACTTGATTGTAACACTTGGATTCTTTCATAATCTGTAATATATGCTTGGACTAAAACTGGAATTTTCTTGAAAAAATATGTCATTTTGGGGCTGTACAACATTTGGTTGGGAAATTAAGCCTTTTGGAGCTGATGTGGCGAGGACTGAGTACCAGATGTACTGAAAGTGGCTTGTAGACTGATATGTTTCAACACAGACTAACATGGCATATTGTGGCACCTAGTTCCTGTCCAAGACGTCACATATCTTGCAACTCGCACAGCACTGCCTTGTCTCAGGTAGCTAGATACCAGAAGCTTCACTTCCCACCACAGCTACGAGGGGAGGTCACCTATTTCAAATTACCAAATTGGAAAAATTGCACAAATTATGTTGAATTTATATATTGAGTTACACAAGTGGTCGAATGTCCTGATATTTGAAAGACCACAATTTAAGCACACACATCCCATCCATCTTGCTGTACTGATTCTGGGGAAGTAGATACCTGGGCCTATTTGCATAAAGCGATCTATGCCCATGCGATCTTAGCTCTGAAGTCTGAGGCTTCTACAAACATCCTACTGAAGTCTGAGGTACAAACATCCTAGAGAGGTATACCGGTGGTGGAGGTTTATATTGTATCTGTTGCTGTAAGCTTGACAGCAATAGTAAACATCCAACATGTTAATCATCGAATCAAATAGATTATATTTTTTCCTAATGAACTGACAGACTCTAACAATTTTATGCTCAAATCGATGAAGATTTTGCACTCCAACATCTCCATACTAAATCTGAAAGCGAACTGTAAATCATAAAATAAAAATGTGGATAGTTGCTCTTCTTTCGATCCCTACATTTGTGATTATTTAAAGGATGAAAACTAATATTTCTTGTTTTGGCATAAAAGTCCATTCACTCACTGTCACCTAAGCCAGGGTAGTGTCTCAATATACAAGATCAGTATTCGTAGTAGCTCATGCTATCGACCACTGGTTTGTCTTCGAGAGATTTTGTTTACAGACCCAGAGGACGATGCTTGAAGCAGTATTCCATCGTTTGTTATAAAGCTGTGTAAACAATTTATGTTGTGTTGTACAGGCTTCTGACCAACCCTCAGACACACCTGCTTTCTATGTCTAACCAGTGACCGCCATGCATGTTGTACTTGATTTCAGTTTGGTTTGATGGAAATATTAAATCATGAGGAAGCTTTAACCATCCTTTCTCGGACAGTCGACCCATCCGACCCACAAACCATGCTTGAAGCTGTTCGTCTCCTTGCTGCCATATGTCTTGTTCCACCCAATGGGTAGGTTTACTTCAGTCATGTGACATAGTTAACCAATCAGGAGATTTATTTCAGTCATGTGACATAGTTAACCAATCAGGAGATGTATTTCAGTTATGTGACTTGGTAAGACTTTTTGAACGTTTATTTCAGTGGTATAAATCAGTAAGCTGATCATCAGTGTTGGAGTCATGTATGTGTTTTGACTGAAGGAGAGTTTGATGTTGTTGTGTAATTAATTCATAGATCATGTCCTGCCCACTATGTGGTATTTTAAGGGATGTGTTTTGAATAATGTTCTGGTCACTCAGTAGTAAATGGGTACCTGGTGGATGGTAATGTGACCCTAAACCTTCTAGCACCTCATACAATAGGTTAGGTTTCATACTTCCCAGGAAGCTCAGAATGAGATTTGAATGCACACTAATCCAAAAACACCACGAAGTAGTACAGTGTAGTACAATGACTTAGTGAATGGAATTGCACGAAGCATTTACTTCTCATGCCAAAGCTCAAGATAAAAATTTTCAGACATGGGCACAATGTTAGAAGTGCATTTCTGGTTCCTTGACATGATTTTACAGGAATATATCTGAAAAAGCCACTCCCTACACCATGTGTGATTTGTAGCAATAACAGGGCAGAAGAACTGATATGCCAAATGAACGTTTCTGGAAATTGAACATCTTTGGTGCTCTTTCACTTTACTAACAAGATAGAAATGTTTGTTATAATACACAGCACTTGTCAGTTAGTTAGACATCAGTGTCAGTTATGGGCTGTGTTGACCAGCTGCCCAGTGCATGACTTGTTTTTGCCTGTGTCAAACTTATAAAAACTAGTCCGAGACTCAGTGAGTGGATGAGATACCACCAACATTCTTTCATTATTAGGGTAGATTTTGCATTTTATGCTTTTGCTCATCCCAGACAAATGTGTACTATCATATATGTCTCTATGTGTAGATCATGGGGTAGCCTAGTGGTTAAAGCGTTCACACATCACTCTGAAGACTTGGGTTCATTTCCCCACATTGGTACAATGTGTGAAGCCCATTTCTGGTGTCCCTGGTGATATTGCTAGAATATTGCTAAAAGCAGCGTAAAATTTTACTCACTCACTCACTATTACTTTTAAGGATCATTTCTATAGTATGGATCAGCTTGACTTCAGGTAAAACTGACAGTCTACCAAGCCACGAGGACGATATAATTAGGGTCCTGAGAGATGAAATGCATACAAAGTTGGGCAATAATCATTCAGGAGACGGCAGAGAGCATGGTTGAATCCAAGGAGCTACAATGCAGAGTTGTACCCCTTTGGAGTTCCATAATCTTCTAATCGTTGGTTTGTTAGCAGCATACCCATGCTTGTGGTCATCACCAACGTGGTAAATGTTTAAGATCTGCATCACTGGAGACATGTAGCTGATATGCTGCGATATATCTGAAATATTCCTCAAAGTGGCATTAAACCAAACAGTATTCAGCCTCACAGCCCTTCAGGTTCAGGTCACCTCGTTATTACCCTTATAGTTTGTACTTAGCATCAGATACCAACAATTACATGCCTAATTTGTAATAATTACGAAAGGATTCTTCCAATGATGTATAACTGACTATTGTTGTACAGACACGAGAAGGCTCTAGAGGGCATCACAGTGTGCGGGGAGATCCGGAGTCAGGAGCGCTTCATCCCGATCATCATGGGGATGGGGATGAGGGACAACCTCCCCATGCAGGTGAGCAATACGTCACTCTTACCTAGGTAGTAGGCTGCCTCCATGGTGTAGTGGTTAGAGCGTCCGCCTGGAGAGCGTAAGGTCACGGGTTTGATCCCCGTCCGCATTATACCAAGAGACGTTATAATATGCTACTAACTTGTTGGTCCCTGTCTGGCGCTCGGCATTAATGAATACAACAAGGACTGATTTGCTCAGAGTCAGTATAATGTGTCTGAGTTGGGTATGCATGCTTCACTGCGGCATTGAATCTCAGTGAACTAGCACTATAAAACCAGCTTAGTACAAGCAGCCACACATAAACTTGCATGCACGTCGTCATATGAGAAAAATATTCTTAAGCACAACATTAAACCCCATTTTACCACCTTCACCTCACCTAGGTGGTCATAATGATAGAGTGACGTGGCAGTCTTTGAAACTCAGAACAAAAAATACAGGCTTAGTGCAGCAACACTGTTCTTAAAACGTTAGGTGAAAGTGAGTCCCAAGGTTCAAATCCCATAAAGATCCTGATAAGAATTGTAAGAAGCAACTGATGGGACTGACGTTCACTGTTCATGTGGCATTATACAAGTCACACTCTTCATCAGCGTTGATGTCTCACTGTTTTCATCTGTACTTCCAGCTTGCCTGCATACAGCTGGTGAATGCGCTTGTGAGTACACCGGACGATCTGGATTTCCGATTACACTTACGGAATGAGATCATGAGGACGGGCATGATCGACCTGATGCCGGTAAGTGTTCTTGTCTAGGGCTCCATTCCATTCCAAAGTGATCTAATCTCTGTGATTTATTAGTCTTATGTTAAGGTAAGGGAACTACGATTGTCTTAGTTATTGTGGAACAGAGCTCAGAGGAGATAGACAGTCACCATTCCTATAATGCCAGTATGAATATATTCGTGTTTTATTATTGTTTCAATCAATTATTTAAGGAATAAATCATTGATGGAATCAGTCAATCAGTCACATTGCTTGTATCATTGCCATGTTGATCAGGTTGGATCAGCCTCCATCTTCATCACTCACTGTTTGTATGTTTCAGACGCTAGATGGCCAGACGGACGATGAGGTGAAAACACAGGTTCAGATCTTCCATGAACACAAAGATGAAGATGCTGAAGAGTTCTCTCACAGATACGACAACGTCCATATGGAGATAGAATATCCTTGATCAGTTAGCAACTTGAAGCACTAGTCACTGAACCCAAGCTTATTCTGATTTGGGTCCAGTGAACTTTGCTGATAGAAATAAATGTGAAGTGAAAAATGTTACCAAAAATGTTACTGGAAGATACAGGGCTGTGTTAGGGTGACACATTGCGGTCCCATACTTGGAATGATTCTTTGAAGAAAACAATGACAATTTTGTATAACGTTTCCTATTATTAGTCTCTGTCTCAAATTCTTCTCAATGTCACCTCTTCTTCCTCTGTCCAAAAATCCCAAAGTAAACCAATGAGTATGAACAAAAGACCATGCTGCATGAGGTACTGATCAAGGGGAGATAATTCAAACATGTTCATTACGTATATGGTGCACAAGGCTGCATAATACCGCCCCAGTCACTCTAATATATTTCTTAAATGACTGTTTCTTGAATGATGGATTGGAATCCACAGTTGATGTTCTTGGTTACACACCATTTGATAAGTGAGGACAGTGCCTGTTATCTTAAGATTAGGTGACTGCTACACATGCATACAGCCACTCACTTTCTTACTGTGTTCCTTAACCGTCTTACCGATTCCGCCCAGTGCTTCGAGCTGATTTCTGCTTCCATCAAGGACACTGTGTCGGAACCCTACTTCCTGTCAATCTTGCAGCATCTGCTAACGATCAGAGATGACTTGTACTCGAGGTGAGTTGCGCAACATTGAGGACAGGAAGTATATATTTATGGAGATGTCATGCATATTGTTTGTTGGATGGATGGATAGATAGATGGATGGATGGGTGATGGATGTATGTGTGGATGGGTGGGTGATTTGGATGGTGGGTGGGTGGGTGTATGGATGGATGGGTGGGTGTGATGGATGGATGGGTAGATATATGGGTGGGTGGGTGGTTTGGATGGTGGGTGGGTGGGTGTATGGATGGATGGGTGGGTGGGTGTGGATTTGGATGGTGGGTGGGTGGATGGATGGATGGGTAGATGTATGTGTGGATGGGTGGGTTTGTGGGTGAGTGGATGGATGGGTGAGTGAGTGGATGGGTGGGTGAGTGGATGGATGGGTGGGTGAGTGGATGGATTGTCTTTTCGTGTGAAATGATCTGTATCTTATCGCTTGACTTACCTAATGTGGCTTTTCACTCATTTCTATTCTCTCAATGAAGACAGACGCTTTGTCAGGTAACTAGATTAAATGTATGTGTTATTTGGCTAGACAATATAGACATCTTTGTATCATGATTGCCAAAATGGTTTGTTCCTCAGTCATTTTGTTTTCCTTGTGACAGACCCCAGTATTACAAACTCATAGAAGAGTGTGTCACCCAGATCGTGCTGCATAAGAGTGGCGTGGATCCCGACTTCCGGCACACCAAGAGATTTGAGATAGATGTGGAGCCTCTGCTTAGTAAGTTGTCAAATATAGGAATGTTCTTTCTGCAAATCCCTAACACAAAGGGTCAGGGTTAGGTTCTGTCCCAAGTACCTTTGTTTTTCATAAGGGGAAACTTAATGGATCATATTTATGAGGAAGCAAAAGGTTGAAAACATTTTGTGATGAATCTGAAAGTGACCGTAGTGCTAAGACTGAGCTTATTGATAAGAAGACACACGATTAAAGACAGGTTTTGTACTTGTCAAATCAGCTGGGTCTGTAGAACACTCGTACAGATTCAAATACAAGTATACCAGCATAAACATATTTATATGGCTGCATTAGTTATTTTTTTAATATTTTTTGTGAAAATGGAACATTTGCCAACATTCAGAAATGTGGTAATATTGTTGTATGCTTCTCTCGATGGATATACGGTCTGATGTACGCCTCTTTGTAGCAGTGTGACCTGAGCCGCTATAAAAATGGTTAATTATGCTTAAGTTGACTGTGCAAACGATTCAATGTATAAAATAGTTTAAATAAAGCAGTGAAAGTCTAAATCTGTACATAGTGAAGTAAAAAACAGCTAATCAAACGGTTTTCAAACTCCGGGCACCTGCGTCATAATATGACATCATATGATTACTAGCGATACATCTTCTCGGCGGAGGGGTGACACGGAAACTTGTTAAAGTGTCTTTGACCAATGAAATTAAGGTATTTTAGATGAAGGTAAGATAATTATATTTGCGGCCCAACTTGATGACAAGCCGGCGTACAACTCATCATAAACACTTTAAAGTTGAAGAAAGGTCAAGGACATGTAATGATGTCATAATCTCATACACCATTCATCACAGTTACAAAGAGACTTTGATCTTTTTGAACTTCAACACTGGTGCTTTAATTTGCAGGTAGTTTATCAGAAAAGTCTAAGTTTGAGGACTCGAATGTGAATATCGGTGAGATGAATACAAAGCTAGAGGCAGCACTGACAGCCAAGCAGGAGTCTGAAGCCAAGGCCACAAGTATGGATGAGAAGATCAAAGCATATGAGCAGGAGCTAACACAACTGAAGGAAAAGGTACCAGTGTTATCTTATTGTGAACGTTGCAATTTCCTTGAGAAACTTGAACTTCATTGAACTGTTTGAGAGGCATTCTAGAAGTTGTAATTAATGGGAATCACAAGTCTTTAACGACGATCACTTCTTTATTGTACAATGGCGACGTTGCTGTACAGATGCTTATTACCGTTTTCAAGCTTGGGGTGGTGAATGGATATACTGCTGTATCCATTCACCCCTTCCTGCTTGAAAAACGGTGTAAAGAAGTGATCATCTATAGAGACTTGTCATTCCTTGAACTTCATTTACTTAACAGATCTACCCGTGAAGATCTGGGTTAGAATTGGTCTTCAGTAATTCATTCTTGTCGTAAGAGACCACTAACAGTATTGGAGGGTCAAAGACTTATCATTCCTTGAACTTCATTTACTTAACAGACCTACCCGTGAAGATCTGGGTTAGAATTGGTCTTCAGTAATTCATTCTTGTCGGAAGAGACCACTAACAGTATTGGAGGGTCACACTTGGTTGACTCATGTCATCTCATCATGTCTGAATTGCATAGATCAAGTCTCATGATCACTGGATTGTCCGGTCGAGGCTCGATTATTTACAGACTGCCATCATATAGCTGGAATATTGCTGAGTGCGGCATTAAACAAAACAAACAAAACAAAACACAACTGTAAATATTTCGAAAAAATTAAAGTGACACTGACAATGTGATTGTATATTTTAATTTCTGTTTCACAGATATCTCAGGGAATAGGGACAGTTGTGAGCAGTGCACTGAATAAGGGGCCTGGTGGTGGCCCTCCACCTCCTCCTCCACCTCCCCCGCCCCCAGGTGGAGGCCCCGCCGCCACCACCACCACCCCCTCCACCACCTGGTGGAGGTGCACCACCACCACCTCCTCCTCCTCCACCACCAGGAGGTGGTCCACCTCCACCACCTCCTCCTCTCCAGGTGGGGCCTCCTCCTCCCCACCCCCTCCTGGGGCACCCCGACCCCCAGGAGCTTTGGAGTCCCCCAGGTGCCCCCTCTCCCCCAACAAATGTACTTCCATTTGGTATGCAGCCCAAGAAAAAATACACGACAAATACACAGACCAAGAGGTTAAACTGGAACAAGGTGAGTCAAACTTGAAAGTTTATGACCCAAACTTCTTGTAAAATCTGTATTTGTCTGGAGCTCTTAAAGTAGATTTGGTCCCGAGAAGATGTTTCTTGTAAAGGATCAAAACCAACTCCGAGGTTTTGTTTGAAACAGTAAGCCCATGGCAGAGGGAAAATGGGGAGGGACGACAGGCCCGACCCGATTTCCCGAGGCCAAGGGCCTACTTTTTCAAACAAAACTGAGGAGGAGGTTTTGATCCAACTTATGAACCAACCGAAGATATATTTTAGATGTAATTTTGATATTTGGTATTTACTGTTGAAATCAACTGGGATGCGAATGGCAGCCAACACCTTGCCTTGGACGCCCAATGCACGTGCTCTTCACGCGCTACCCGTGTCCTACCGGTGTCCAGTTACAATAACAGACTAGTGTGATTCAGTTATTCATTTGAAAGTTACACGGTGTAACTAGGGACAAGGGCCCACCTGCACAAACTGAACTTATCGCTATAACTGTCATAAGTCTAGGTTAAGTTACCATTGGTTTGTGCAAGTGTCCCCTGTTTATGAAGCTATCTCAGCTGTCTTACTGTTACAGAATAGTCATAGGGCTGGCATAGTTTTGAGGAATTGTATTTGATATTATTAATTTCTTATAATTATGTTTCATAACTGTCGTATGTTTATCCACTGGTTAGGCACAGTGTCTTCATTGAGAGCATTTTGTCATACCTTGTGGGTGCTCATAACATTAACCCCTGGTTTGTCTGGCTGTGTTGAATGTGATATAGCTGGAATATTTCTGAAAGCAGCATAGCCCAACAAACAATATTCACAAAGGTTTCTCATTGCTAATGGGCGTGCTGGGGTAGCCTAGTGGTTAAAGCGTTAGCTCGTCACGATTCCCCACATGGGTACTATGTGTGAAGCCCATTCCTGGTGTCCCTTGTCGTGATATTGCTGGAATATTGCTGAAAGTGGCATAAACCCCAACTCGCTCACTCATTGCTAATGAGGTATTGGTAGTTTTTGGGTGGCCATCTTTTGTGTTGTTAGTCTTGATGTGTCATACCCACATGCCGTTATTATTGCTCATGACATCAACCACATGTTTGGCTTGTCCTGCTCGGATACTCTTGAACAACTACAGAGTGATTGGAGTAGCCTAGTGGTTAAAGCGTCCATTTCGTCCGCGCCGAAGACCGGGTTCAATTCCCCACATGGGTGCAGTGTGTGAAGCCATTTCTGGTGTCCCTCGCCCGTGATATTGCTGGAATATTGCTAAAGTGGCGTCAAACCATACTCACTCACTCACTCACTTGAACAACTGACTAGACCTGTGTTTTTCCACAAGCGATGTTGTTGCTCCAGTTGTTGCTGGGAACCAAGGGTAGCCTAGTGGTTAAAGCGTTAGCTCGTCACGCCCGAAGACCAGGGTTCGATTCCCCACATGGGTACTATGTGTGAAGCCCATTCCTGGTGTCCCTTGTCGTGATATTGCTGGAATATTGCTGAAAGTGGCATAAACCCCAACTCGCTCACTCATTGCTAATGAGGTATTGGTAGTTTTTGGGTGGCCATCTTTTGTGTTGTTAGTCTTGATGTGTCATACCCACATGCCGTTATTATTGCTCATGACATCAACCACATGTTTGGCTTGTCCTGCTCCGGATACTCTTGACCAACTGTGGTAGCCTAGTGGTTAAAGCGTCCGCTCGTCACGCCGAAGACCCGGGTTCAATTCCCCACTTGGGTGCAGAGTGTGAAGCCAATTTCTGGTGTCCCTCGCCGTGATATTGCTGGAATATTGCTAAAAGTGGCGTAAAACGATACTCACTCACACACTCACTTGAACAACTGACTAGACCTGTGTTTTCCACAAAGCGATGTTGTTGCTACAGTTGTTGCTGGGGAACCAACATCCTTGATGATGTACAGGAAATGACTTGAAGGTATTCTGAGAATTATGCTATTTCTCTATTTTCTTGCAAAGGTGAATGCACGTGTTTTGGACAAAGATTCTCTCTGGGTGAAGGCATCGTCAGAAACATTTGAAAGCGATGTCTTGTTCAAGGGTCTAGAGGAATGCTTTGCTGTGAAAGCTCCAGGTAAATATGCTTGTCTTTTATACCACAAAAGCTATCGTATCTCTAAGTCATCCATATGTCAGATACCAGGTGACCTAAGTGGTGAAACCTTATCAGCTTTCATTTATGTCACCCTTTGTTCAGTTCTTTCTTTGTTTGACAGTTAGATTATTACTTTTCTTGCAGCAAAGAAAGAGACAAGTGAAAATATGGACATCAAGCCAAAGAAGAAGTCGAAAGAATTACGGGTGCTAGATCCAAAAGCAGGACAGAATCTGTGTAAGTTCACTTTATTGCTCTTACTCATATTTGTAATGGGTGGTGAGGTAGCCTAGTGGTTCAAGCGTTGGCTCGAAGACCCATGTTCGATTCCTGACATGGGTACAATGTGTGAAGCCCATTTCTGGTGTCCCCTGCAGTGATATTGCTGGAATATTGCTGAAAGCGATGTAAAAAAATAATCACTCACTCTAACAACTGAGAATAGAAAATCGAGTTCCATAAACCCTGATCTATTGTTCACTGTAGTAATAACGGAGTGCTTCCAGTCTGAATTATTATTTACAAGTGAAGTTCATGGACATGTAGGTATAATTCTAGCTCTCCTTGCCAAGGCTGAGGACCCCTGTACATTGTTATTTGTGTTACAGCTATCCTCCTGGGGTCGATCAAGGTGCCATATAAGGAAATAAAGCGACGCATCCTGGCGATAGATGATGAGAACTTGTCGGAGGCCATGTTGGAACAACTGCTGAAGTATATGCCAACACCGGAGCAGATGAACCAGATCGCTAGCTTGAAGGACCAGTATAATGATCTCGCAGAACCAGAACAGTTTGCAGTGGAGGTAGGTGGCAGTTTCACTGTCCTTTATCCGAGTGATATCACGTATCATGTGTCATGTGTTTTGTTGAATCATACCAAGGTGTCATGATACATTCAGTTTGTTTCTGACAGTGGAAGATACCTTTGATATAAATATAGACGTACATTAAGAGTGGTGTTCCTTGACTCAGTTATTGCTGGTTGTGGATCAGCAATACTACAGGAATACTATGCACTGTTTAGACAATACAGAAACTTTGAGATAACCTGTGTAGACATGTTAGAATTGGTTTTCAGCAAACCATGCTTGTACGAGTTCAGTAACTGGATAGTGTGATCAGACTCGCTGACTTGGTTGACACATGTCATTGTATCAGTGCTCATGATGTTGATCACTGGATTGTCTGGTCCGGACTTATTTATTTAAAGACCAATGCGATATAGCTGGAATATGTCTGAGTGTGGCGTTAAGCAACAAACCAACCAACCACTGCCCTGTGATTGATGCATGTTTTCCATCTACTGCCATGCTTGTCCAGATTGTGGTTATCTGAAACATTGCTTCAAGCACAGGCAAATTGTAGCGCAAATAGGGTTGCGCAACAAAGAGAAAATGACCAGTCTTCCCATATGCGAGCAAAGGTTGGCAACGTGCTTCCCTCGCTTTAGTTCGAAAAATGGCAGGGGTAATGGAGGCGAAGAACGATTTGACATGCCACAAGTTGCGCTTAAAATGTTGAATTAAATATATTGTCCCTGAGTAATTATTAAATATGAGGTTGGAAATCTGAGAGCACAACTCTGTGAGGAAATGGGTGTCTACCTTTGATGATGGCGATATTTTATTTTGATATTAAAAATATTTTTCAAACCGAAGCGAGGGAAGCACGTTATTAACCTTTCGCTTCGCCGCATATGGGGAGACTGGTCATGTTATCTTTGTTGCGCAAGCCTATTTGCGCTACAATTTGCCTGTTCTTCATGAGACTCAATGTCTGGGCTTTGTTCATCTGGAACATGTTCACAAGATGTTTCTTAAATACAAACAAATGGAAAATTTAAGGAGACCATTTTAGAAGTTTTGTTTGGTCTATCAATACTATTTCTAAAGAGGAACAATTTTTCTGGATAGACAACTTCTTTATTTTATTCATAAATATTGTTCCTCTTCATCACGCCAGCATGTAAATGCCACTTAAAGAAGTAATACTATTGACAGTGTAATGGATGATATTTTTAAGTTGTCATTGATCATTTTGGGGAATGTACAATTGTGACATCTCTGGTGGTGACAGTCCTGTAGCCGTACCCCTGCGATGGGGACAGTGTTGCAACTAGCATAGACTGAAGCAGCATACAGGACCAAATTAGTGTCACTCCCATGGAGATCCCAGTGTTAGATAAGAGTGAGTGGGTGAATGAATTTGGTTTTACGCTGCTTTTATTCCAGCAATATCACAGCAGATAAAATGGACTTAACACATTGTACCCAAGTGGGGAATCAAACCCAGGCATGATGAGCGAACGCTTTAACCACTAGGCTCCCCACTGCGATGTTAGAGAAGATTCCCGGGTGACTGGGTTTTGATGACTTTGGTGATTGAATGTCATCTTAGACAGTTGCTGTTGGAGACTGATTTAGTATCAATCACCAGATTGTCTGGTCCCAGTCTGATTATTAATATGCTACTGTCATGTTGCAGGAGTGAGTAAGTGTGTTTGGTTTTATGCCGCTTTTGGCAATATTCCAGCAACATCACAGTGGGGAGCACCAGTAATGGGCTTCACACATTGTACCCAGTTGGGGAATCGAACCCGGATCTCCGGTGTGAAGAGCCCCTCACATTGCAGTAAGACTGTTGAGTGCAGCATTAAACATTGAGCAAACAAAATCATTAACCATCATTAATCTTTTTCACAGATGTCGTCCATCAAGCGAATCACTCCTCGTCTCAACTCCATGCTGTTCAAGATGAGATTTTCTGAGAATGTGGCAGACATTAAGCCTGTGAGTTGACTTCAAAGATGTTCTACAATCAGCACTCCAATATTTACTAGTGCTTCAAATTAGTCAAATATTAACATGTATTGGCTGTGCATTGATAATGCTGAGGGTATCACATTTTGTATTCTCTTAGTTATGAAAATGTTCTAAAATTCTTGAAGCTTTACCAGGGATTTACAGGACACAAATTCCTGCGTCCTCTACGCATAAAAATTGACAATAATGGACGCAACAAAATTTATTAGCGCATCCAGAGGGACGCAGAAAAAAGTCCAAATCCTTTTTGTAAAATTTCCAGTTAAGTAACAATAAGTTATCACTGAGTTTGCTACTAGCTGGTATCTTTTGCAATTTGATTACTGTAAAAATTAATGTGATGATCATGATACACAATACAATTTCAGTATTAGTAATAATATTTAGGTGTCTGGGACCCCCATTTTGTTGTCCAGGACCCCTGAAAATTAAGAGTATGAGTCACAGGGACACTCAAATACAGGACTCCACGTAAATCCTTGCTTTACTGAATTTAATCTCTTTGGAACCATTTTGTTTCCTTCTTTCTTGCCGCCATTTATGATAGCTTTGCCAAACATTAATGAAGAAAGTATGTTGCTGTCTTAGGAAATAGGTTAATATTATCCTTCTGGTATGTTGAGACTGCCTCCGTGGTGTAGTGGTTAGAGCGTCCGCCCGGAGAGCGGAAGGTCGCAGGTTCGATCCCTGACCGCGTCATACCAAAAGACCTTAAAATATGGTACTTGTTGGTCCCTACCTGGCGTTCGGCATTAATGGGTACAACAAGGACTGGTCGGCTCGGAGTCAGTATAATGTGTCTGAGTGGAGTATTCATGCTTCACTGCGGCATGGTATCTCAGTGGGCTAGCACTATAAAACCAGCTTAAGTCTGGGCTAGTACCATCAGCCGTACATACACATACACATGCATGCACGTCGTCATATGAGCGAAATATTCTCAAGCACGACGTTAAACCCAATTTCACCTCACCTCTGGTATGTTGACAAGCTACTACTACAAATGGCGTTAGACTCATGCAAATCTGTCCCTGGTTCCAGGACTTAGTGGCAGCAACAGAGGCATGTGAAGAAGTGAAGAACAGCAAGAAGTTCGCCCGTCTGATGGAGTTCATCCTCGTTATAGGCAACTACCTCAATGCTGGCTCTCGGAATGCACAGTCACTTGGCTTCGAGATCAGTTTCCTCAGCAAGGTATGTAGCTTAAATGGTTTATATTCACAGAGCAGAGTTGTTTAACAGTATTTCGTGCTCGTTAGCATGAAGTGAAATGGAAGATTGGGTGGCTGCAACGTGTGAGAAATAGCTTTCTTGACATTAAATATATAAATGGCGTCCATGAAATATTTTCAATATGCCCTGGCGACACAACTAAAATTATAGAAAAATTACCAAGATTCACTTAATATTAAAAGAAATAAATTTGACAAAATCAAATGATTCGAAATCTGTTTTTGCACCGTGTAGAACTGTTTATTAGTAGCTTAACATGGGCATGGCCATTTTGAATGCGATTTCACATAATAGGAAATTTTGAATGATAACAAAGTTTGTAGACTAGATTATGGGTCCAGCACAAATTCTTGCATCCTTGATAGTGTTTAGAAAATCCAGCTTTTAAGTTTGCATGTTGTTTACAGATTATTACAATAAATTGGAATGACATAATTGTTGTGATCTTTTGAGCTTAATTGGAACATCAGAAGATATATCACTTATTTTTCAAAGGCACACCTAAATTATTTATCTGGTGCCCTATGGCATGCTGAAAAAATTGACCCGTGAAGATCCGGGGTAGAATAGGTCTTCAGCAACCCATGCTTTCCACAAAAGGTGACTATGCTTGTCGTAAGAGGCGACTAACAGGATCGGGTGGTCAGGCTCGCTGACTTGGTTGACACATGTCATCGGTTCCCAATTGCGCAGATCGATGCTCATGCTGTCGATCACTGGATTGTCTGATCCAGACTCGATTATTTACAGACTACCGCCAAGTAGCTGGAATATTGCTGAGTGCGGCGTAAAACTAAACTCACTCACTCACTCAAAAAAATTCATTTCTATCCCTGTATAGATTTACTGAAACAAGAAATGGGTAGTGCAGATTGCTGATGTAGCTGAAATATTGGATCGCTTGGATTTAATGTGATATTCTATCATGTTATGTCTTTGATGTCTGAGATGCTGCAATTGCTAAAACGTTCCTTAGGCCTGCCATAAATCTTTGATCGCACCACCACCAAACTTGTGCTGATGGGTGTAAGAAAAGTGGTAAATGTTGCGTCTGGGGTGAAATTAAGGTGACACACTTCAGAATGTTTTTACACAAAATTCATTCACTGTTTATCTCAGGTGTGACCAAGTTGTCTAAGGCACCATGATTTACTGTACCAAGTTGCCCCCAATGTTTCTAGGTTTTTTAGCATAGATGAAAAATTCTTGAAAGTGAAAAGAGGGTAGTTCTAAATTGCTGGAAACTTCTCAAATGTACAAAATATCTGCCACTGACTGTCACACGTTCCCCTAGTTGGAAAACACCAAGTCTCAGGATGGGAAGACAACTTTGATGCACTTCATGGCACAGACAGTTGAAGAGAAACACCCAGACCTAATTGGCTACATAGAGGAGCTGACACACACAGAGAAGGCAGCTCGAGGTAGGTACATGGGGCTAGAGAGTATCTAGTTAGCTTCCTGTAGGAGCAGACGTACACAGAAGGCAGCTTGAGGTTGGTACATGGGGCTAGAGAGTAACTGGTTAGCTTCTTTTGGGAGCTGACACACACAGAGAAGGCAGCTCGAGGTAGGTACATGGGGCTAGAGAGTATCTAGTTAGCTTCCTGTAGGAGCAGACGTACACAGAAGGCAGCTTGAGGTAGGTACATGGGGCTAGAGAGTAACTGGTTAGCTTCCTGTAGGAGCAGACATACACAGAAGGCACCTTGAGGTAGGTACATGGGGCTAGAGAGTAACTGGTTAGCTTCCTGTAGGAGCAGAGGTACACAGAAGGCAGCTTGAGGTAGGTACATGGGGCTAGAGAGTAACTGGTTAGCTTCCTGTAGGAGCAGACGTACACAGAAGGCAGCTAGAGGTAGGTACATGGGGCTAGAGAGTAACTGGTCAGCTTCCTGTAGGAGCAGACATACACAGAAGGCACCTTGAGGTAGGTACATGGGGCTAGAGAGTATCTAGTTAGCTTCCTGTAGAAGCAGACATACACAGAAGGCAGCTTGAGGTAGGTACATGGGGCTAGAGAGTAACTGGTTAGCTTCCTGTAGAAGCAGACATACACAGAAGGCAGCTTGAGATAGGTACATGGGGCTAGAGAGCAACTGGTTAGCTTCCTGTAGGAGCAGAGGTACACAGAAGGCAGCTCGTGGTAGGTACATGGGGCTAGAGAGTAACTGGTTAGCTTCCTGTAGGAGCAGACGTACACAGAAGGCAGCTTGAGGTAGGTACATGGGGCTAGAGAGTATCTAGTTAGCTTCCTGTAGAAGCAGACGTACACAGAAGGCAGCTTGAGATAGGTACATGGGGCTAGAGAGTATCTAGTTAGCTTCCTGTAGGAGCAGACGTACACAGAAGGCAGCTTGAGGTAGGTACATGGGGCTAGAGAGTAACTGGTTAGCTTCTTTTGGGAGCAGACGTACACAGAAGGCAGCTCGAGGTAGGTACATGGGGCTAGAGAGTAACTGGCCAGCTTTCTGTAGGAGCAACCTTACACAGAGAAGGCAGCTTGGAGTAGGTACATGGGGCTACACCCTGCTATTGACACATAAAGCTCAACGTTTGCTGTGAATTTCTGAGTCTACATAAACCTGTCTATCAAAGTCGATTTCTATATTTATTTGGTAAAAGTCAAGACCGACAGAAGTGTTACTAGACAAGGGTTATGTACTAGTGGCGAAAGTCAGAGAAAGACTGGTATAACTCATATAACTCCATGACTCTGGTCTATTGTTTCAGTGTCGGACGAGACGTTGCAGAAGAACCTGAAACAGATGGAGAAGCAGCTGAAGCAGCTGGAAATCGACATCAAGAACATCAGCAAGGCCAGCAACGAGGGTGACCGGTTCGCAGAGGTCATGGAGATATCCTTTCCATACTACAGCTGAATCTGCTGATTGAGTTCGGCCAGGGATGTTTGTTCCAGATCTACAAACATTTCAAGATATGTTTTAGTGTTAAAGTGATGCCTTGTTTACCCATGTTTTCCCTATTTCCTGTTTTTCACATAAGTAGAGTTTATTTTGGTTTAACAACAAATTAGACTTTCACAGAAGAAATATGTATGTATGTGGCTGATGTTCTTTTTCCTTGACTCCTTCACGTGTTCCTCAAAAGTGCCAGTGAGCAGCATGATGTCCTAAGTACGATGTACAAGAAGTTGGACTCCCTGTTTAAGGACCTGGCCAAGTATCTGTGCTTCGACACCAAGAAATACTCAATTGAAGATTTCTTTGGAGACTTAAAAAATTTCAAAGAAGCATTTAATGTAAGTAGGCTTTTGATTTTGGAACTGCAAGGGAGTTTAAATTTTGAAGAGGTTTTAGAATATTAACTCTGAGATGTCTCTGTTACTTTTTTGAAGATTTCCTTCATGGTTTCCATTTCATCTCGCCTCCTTCAGTGGGAACAGGGTTTTGTTAGGGAGAACACTGGTGTGAGGCTGAACAGAGATGTATGATATTTGGTCCTTTTTTTATGTGTTTTTGTTTTGTTGTTATAGAAAGCAATGAAAGAGAATGCAAAAATGCGCGAGACACAGGAGAAGATACGACGTGCCAAGGAAGCCAAGGAGAAGGCAGAGAGGGAGAAGAAGGAGAAGAAAGCCAGGCAGATTGCAATACTGGACATGACCACAGGTTTGTACACAACCAAACTGAATGTGAACACAGGCAAATTGCGAGACTTTGTGTGATCAGTACTTGACCACAGTTAGGCAGATAGTGACACGGACATAATCAGTAATTTATCATAGTTATAACATCAAAAAATGATGATACATATTTTCAGCAGTTATTTACATTGCATAACTGTGTGTGAGATGCAAAATGATCTCAAGCAGTATGTGTAATAGATATTACCACAGGTAGGCAGATGACAAAACTGCAGACGAGCAGTAAACTGAACAAACTTAGGTAAATCCTATATACTTAATTTCCATGCTAAGTAGATACCAGAATTGGATATGTTCCGAGTGTTGATACTAATTGAGCAAAGAGTTCATTAATAACAAAATAACAAAAGTAGAGTTGATGATTGAGAGGCAGAGAATGGTGTTGTAGTCAACAGTTGGGGTGTATTGTGCTGCTTCAGATGATGACCAAGAGGGTGTTATGGACAACCTGCTGGAGGCGCTCAAGACAGGGTCGGCCTTCAGCGTCAACCGGGAGAAGCGAGATGGCAAGCGCAGGACACCTCGGGCAGCAGGGGGTACGTAGACTTCCTACAGACTTCATAAACATGGATGTAAAACATTGTTGTGTACATTGGCCAAGATGATGACTCGGTGTTCAAAAGTAGCATGAATCTGAATGGGTCCCTATCTTAACCCTAGTGGTAAAAGTTAAACATTTAGATGGTCCCCAGAGTTACTTATCGTCGGATTATATGTTTCCAGATGTCATATATTTTCGAATTTCAGTATTTATTCTCACTATAACATGGTGGTACACACAGACATTTTAAATATTTGGATTTTGGCTCTTTTTCTTATGATAAAGTTGTCCTTGACAAGTCAGTGATATGTTTTACAATTGAAAATCAGATGTTGATATGCGTCCGAAAACCCCACAATGCTGGGTTACCGTACTAGCAAACGCCCAATACTTCCTTAATTTCGAACACAGATGATGTATGTCAATTTTGCTTCAAAGTAATATTTTAAAGTTAACTTCTTTGCTTATGCCAGTCATAAGCGGAACAAAGATGTGGATCGTTGCTCATTATATCAATCACTGGATCACCTGGTCCAGACCTAAGTGTTTGCTGGCCTCAGTTAGGTTGGAAACTACTTTGGTACTATCAGTAAAGAACAGATAAACACCATGGTTACTGAGTATTGAGAAGACCAGGGGGAGGTAACCATTCTTACCCTAACCATTCTTATGGATGTTGATACTGTCAACTAATAGTTTTTGTGGTCCATGTTCTGTTTTGTACAGACTGATGGGGATATTGTCATAGTTATGACTGAAACAGTGCTGGGGCAAGCACAAGTCACTATCAAAATTTTGCAATTTACTTCTGTGTAGAATAAATCTTAGTCTATTTAACACTATTATAGTATGCTAGACTGTCACTATCGTAGTTAGCAAGACTGATGCAATGTATGCAGTTGTTATGAATGAACTAATACCAAGCAGTCTATGCTAGATCTCCATATTATTATTATGATTGCTCAGTATTTGTATATGGACATTGCATCTGATGAGTGTAGTCCAATACTGCCTTGATGTGAAGTACATTATCATTACACCTCACCTCACCCACCCTCAATAGTCTCCTCACCCACCCTCAATAGCCACAATCACCCTTAGGTAGCCCCTCCCACATATACACCCTCCCCTTCAGCTTTCTCACTATGACACCCTACTAACACCAGGTGTTCAGGATTATACCCTGTAGAGTCCAGTGAATACTCATAAGATCATGAGGAAAATTGATGAGATCTCCAGCACCAACTATGATGATCCCAATAGACTTTCAGAGTGAGTAACCAATGTTGGTCCTTGGAGCTGACTACACTGAGTATTGGGTGGTCACAATGTCAGAGCTGTCTGATTCACAACCTGATGCTGTTGAACAGTGCTCAAGCAGCTCCTGAAGTTCTTGTCCAGAATCCATCTGGATTGCTGGATTGCTTGGTCCATGTTGAATCTATGCTTGTCACAAGAGGCAACAGTGGATCAGATGATCAGGTGACTGGGGTTGATTGCATGGAATTTTATTCCATTTCGTCAGGTGGATGTTCATGATGTCTGTCACTGATTTTCCTGGTCCATGTGGATTTGGGGGTGGTGGGGGGGGGAAATATAGACCCCATCAACCAATGCTGTTTGTAAGAAGCAACAGCGGATCAGATGACCAAGGGACTTGGTTGTTTTCGTTGACTCCCTGATTTCTAGACCTCCATCACAAACTGGAATATTGCTTTGTGAAGTATTAAGTATTAAAGACTGAATAATTTACATCCCTTTGCGATTCCCCAAAATATTGCTTCCAGTGGTGATTGACAGCACTTATTGGAACCTCCGGCAGCTCTCTCCGCATACTACAGGATATCGTACTCCAATTCTAACTTCCTAACAAGAAAAATATATTGCGTGCTAAATTTACTTTCGATAAGAATTAAATAATCAATTTTGGTACTTAACACACTGGGTGTTAATCTAACTTTGATAATTACTCTGTCTATTTTTTTACATTTTTGTGCAGATTCATTTATTGGTTGATGGGTTTGGGAAAATTTTCTAATTTTCTTTACATTTATTTGGTACCAAATAGAATAACCCCTTGCCTGAAAATTCTGTTACTCAAGTGTATCTGAGAACATGCTAGGACACTTTTTCACTTTTTTGTCAACATTAATCAATAAAATAATGATACTAGAGGATAGATGTGATGAATGCTGGAAATAGAAACTTAATAGAATGATTTTTTGTCTTTGAAAACAGGACAAGTTTGAAAACAGTTATTTGATAAGAAATCCATTTTACAGTCAGAACATGTCATTGTGAGAAAAGAATGTTCTCATGTTATGAAGTAGTAGATGTGAGAGGCTACAAGCATTTGTTGGGAGGGACAAATTCAACGGTACAAAAGTGTTTTTAGTTACATATCTTGCTTGGTGCTTTTGCTGCTGGACTGGTGTCTGCATGAGATAATGTTTGTACATTATCAGCCATGTAATAAAAGTTATGCCCAAAGAACTTTATGCCAAAAATTTGATAAATAAACTTGGACATCTGTGAACTCTCCATGGACTGTCCCTGTACTTCACATAGACTCCCATGTATCTCCAATAGGGCTATACGATTCACCTAGACCTCGATTCAGTTCGATTTTCGATATTGGACCCCCGATTCGATCATTTTCGATTCGATTTGCCATACAAGTAAAAACATCAGATTTCGTTTAACTCTCAGTCTGCTTTTTTAGTGTGAAATCCATCTTCAACTTGGCGATGTCTACTAATAACAATTCTCATTGGATAATTAGCCCGGCGTCAACCCATCATGTTTCGCCTTATTTCAGCACTCCAAACTGCTCGAGTTGGAGTCAAAGTTACGTTCTGGCTATGTGGAAATAATTTAAATAGGTATTCAAATATCAAATCGAAATAGTGATAATGGTTATCGAAAATCAAAACTAAGGTGTCAAACCGAAACGATGAATCAAACTGAATCGTTAGAGTCCTAATCCCCTATGGACTCCTCTGATCCTAGGTTTTCCATGGATTCCCCTGAACAGTTCCATGGATTTCCCAATCCTCCCAAGATTTTCCATGGATTCCTCTGCATCCCTCTTCAGATTCCCCCAAACCTCCCTAGATTTCCCTGTGCATTACCTTCCATGGAATCACCTAAACCCATGGCCTCCAGTGAACATCCCATGGATTCTCCTGAACATCTCCATGGACTCCTGAAACCCCAGGATTTTTCATGGAACCCTGAACCAAAAAGTACAGGCTCCTTTCAACTACCCAGGGTTTCCCCTGAACCCTCTGTGGACTCGCTTGATCCACCACAGACTTCCCTGACCCTCCCAGATAGTCCACAGACTCCTCAGAACTCCTGTATGACCCGTGATAAGCCTGTAGCTGTTGCTTCCCTTTCTCTCCCCCGTCAATCATACTCCCATATATCTTGCTGAATGTGTGTTTATGTTGAATGTCTTCTCCCACAGACCGTATATCGAACCTGTCAAGGTCGCGGGTATGGAAAGATAGTCCTATTAAACCTGAGGTGACATATCATATCTTAGCATGATCATGTGGTGCAATCATGTGACCTGTGCATGACCAGTTAGATCCTTGGATTGTAACCTCAACTTGATTATTGTGACTCATCGAGCTTTGCATGTGATGATCATCTGCTGTTTTACTTTGAGTTTTGTCATCATTATTTTATGTTGCTGTCCTCATCGATATTTATTAGCCTCTCGGAAGAACACACAAAATGTATATTTTTGACATCACTTCAGTCACAATCCATTGTTTGATGACTGTCGTAAAGGGAAAAGGAACATGTGCTTATAGCTTATCATTATGGAATCACCATGATCTTTCACAATTGAAAAAAATGTGATTGAGGGGGAATTCATTTTGTTTTGAAAGATTTTTGTTGTTGTTTTTGTATAATGTGTGTTGTTTTGAGAGGGCCTATAGTGTATGTTGTACTCATTACGTGAATCCAGGGATGACAGTCTGCCACAGACTTGACCTTGACACCTTGGTCGCAGATTTGACCTATGTTTCCAAAACTTTAGCCGGTCAACTGAACCATTTTGGGGCAGTTGTCATCCCCATGGCCTGACATTTCAGGGTTGTTGCTAAACTACTGTTGCCATGGTAACAGAGGGCTATCACATCTGTTGAGTCTTCCTGAAAAGTTGGTTTGTTACTCTTTAAGTATTTTTACGGTAAAACTGATAAGAAATGTACAAGTGTATTTTACAGTTGTATTTCGCAGGGTTCTTCTTAATTTGCCAAAGCATAGGCTTTCAACACACTTTTATACTTGAAGCAAACCATTATTTGATAGGAGCCTGTACCACTGTGATAACCAGTCATAATACTCCAAGGATTTTAATAAACGTGTATTGTTAACCCAACTTAATACTCTTGGGTTTATTGGAAATGTCTACTATTGCTCTGTACTTATAAAATAACTACGTTCTGCTGTATTCTAACATGATATGCATGGACCTGTATTAATAACACTTTTATACCTAATGGCATGATTCTTATATTTTCTATTAGGCCACGGCAGCCAGTGGCATTGAGCATATTATGTTCACTTGGTGCGGATTTTTCGAGAGAAAAATAATTTTACAATTAATATACAATTTTTAACAGAACAGTTTAGATTGAATTTGTCACTTCCTTCTCTTCTGCTGCTCAGGATTGGCAGGACTAAGACTTAAACAGGTTTTGACTTTTTGTCTGATTTGACCTTGACCTTCACCTTGCAATGGGCAGATAACTGTGGTGGCTGGATTCTCCTATAGATGTCTTTGTAGGTTCTTCACTGTCTTTCAGGGTTGTTGGACTTATCTGCAGCTATTGTAGTTTAGTAGGATCATTTGATAAAGTGTGAGTAGTATGTTTATTATTTATCCTTCATTCGAAGGATGAACGGGGCGGTGGGGTAGCCTAGTGGTTTAAGCGTTGGCTCGTCACGCCGAAGACCCGAGTTCGAATCCCCACATTGGCACAATATGTGAAGCCCATTTCTGGTGTCCCCACCGTGATGTTGCTGGAATATTGCTAAAAGCGGCGCAAAACCAAACTCAGTCAGTCAAAGGATAAACAACTGTATAAATCAGTTGTTCATAACTCACATGACACCTGCAAAATCTTATCGGCAGTTTTAATTAGGAGAATAATCAGTCAATTAAAGACTGTCAGTTGAAAAAACGGGGATAAAAATTAATGAAAAAAGACAAGATAGACTAAGGACATGCTGTTGTTGGTTTGCATCTGCAGGTAAGTGTCTAGTGATTTCATTTTCACTTCATTCTCAACCCATCACAGTAGAAACAAAAATATGTTGGTGTTTATACTTTTTTGAACCAGACATATCTTTGGCTTTGATTTTTATTATGGAACCAGTTTTTATTTGGATTTGAAACTCTTTTTTACAACCATAAATATTTGGGGCTTTGAAAATCCTTGGTGTTTCACAGCACAGATATATACTGAGGGAAACAAATAGGGGAACACAATTTATCACAGTGTTCCCTTATTTAGTGTCAGATTTTCAACCAAAGTTCAATACAAAGTTGGCGAAGAAACTCGTAACAAGTGCACATATTATTTCATGTGTTCCCATATTTGTTTCCCTCAGTATATTTGGGACATGACTCATTGTAGAAACAGATATGTGGTGATTTTGGTCCTCCTTTTGTGGAACCATACATATTTTAGGCTTTGACTTCTTTCTAGAAGCAGATATATCGTGGAACCTGCCCTTGGGAAGACTTGACCAGATGCTTGGTTTGTTTCCCTGCTGGAACCTCACAGACACTTGTTCCAGTGTCTTGTTTAGAACTCCTTTGAGTTTGGATTGTCTACTGTTTGGGTCTTGTTTATTGAAACCGTTTGATCCAATTCTTGCATGTACAGCTGATTGTGACATCTGCATGATTTCTATTCTGTAGATCTTTTCAGATTGTTAGAAACCTTTTGCTATTGGGATTTACTTTCATTGCTTCTTCAGGATGTTTTGTGTGATTTGATTTTTAGAATGTTACATGATGTTTTACCTTTTCAGTGTTTCGTCAGTTGCTTCATAGTGCTGTTTACAAGTTTTTGATAAGATTATAATTTATAGCAGAATATGTTTATCAGAGTATATGAATGAATTTTAAATTGTGTGAGTAGTTGGGTTTGATATCTGCTCTTAAAAGAATGCTACTGAGAGGTAGGGTTGCTAAACTGAAAATAATTGGAAATATCGTCAGTGGGGAGAATTATCGACAGTTATCAATATGAATTAAAGTTTTCATTTACACACTAAATTCACAGACATTATATCTTTAGTCAAATTTTGCTTCTAAAATGTGTTCAGGACAGTCTTTGATGGTGATCCAAGTATCACCCCTCACCAGTGATGTGAAATATGTTTATTTCTTTTGGACTCTTTTTGGTATATTTGTTCCAGTTTACTGTTCTGAAATCCAAAATTCCACAAAAGTGTAACTGTCCTGAAAATGAGAGGATGCTGTCTGTATAACAAAGAAGCGAAAATCACTTCCACATGTTACAAATATATTTTGAAAGGCGGAAAAGTTGCAGTTATAGGATTTGTATGAGAAGGATACTATCATAGGATGATGAATAAATTCTTCAGAAGTATGGAATCAAGACTTCAAACATACTTCGTTATGCATTGAAAATAAACATATGACATTTTCTACCATATGTATGACTTTGAGTGGGGAGTATGTCTCTTGGTATTATTCTATTGTGATGTTTCCTTGTTAAGCCACCTTTATGATTTGTTTTAATGCCTGTCGTCAAATGATCTTAGATACCAGCCAAATTTTGGTCACACTAATACTTTTCCTTTTTCTCAACAGCGGAAAGGAGAGCTCAACTTGAGCGATCACGGTCTCGACAGAACCTCCTACAGTTAGACAGTTCCACGGTGAAAGAAATAAACTTTGACGAATCACACGCTAATGAGATTCAGAATCAACCACCCGAGCAGACGCAAGAACCTGAAAGGAGGAGAGGAGACAGCATAGGAGACGCGAGAAAACAAAAGAGGAATCCGAGGCGGAAAAGTTGCTGGCTCGACTTAAAGAATTATGATAGCCTCATTCTGGATTCAAAATGGTTGCTGTTCTTGTCATGTGACCTAACCAAGTGCATGCTGGGATATGTTACATCATGTAATGATAGCTTCCTATGGATTGAAGATGCTTGCTGTCACTGGTCGTACTACACTTAACAAGTGCATGCTGGGATATGTCATTGAGTATTCAAAACGTAGGATATTCTGCTGTGTCTTGCAAGGGCCTATTAGTGTCATTCTAGACACCTCACATTGTCAAGAAATAGAAAGTGTTCTCGGATATATGCCTTTCTTCGGAAATTGGGCAACTGTGATACAATTCATTCAGTTTGAGCAGTTGCTGTGGGTAGAGTAGTGCTGGAAGTTACAGCAGACGTGAGAATCTCACAAGCCAGGGCAGACGTAGCTTTTATACCTGTTCTGTAGCTGTGACATATTTTAACGAATTTGTTCCAGGTGTGCTCTGTTACAGATCTTTCACATCATTGCTCACATTTGTAATTTTGTAATTGTTTGAGTCTTCAGATTCAATATTCAGTCTGTGCCTGAGAAAGTTTCTGAATAACCTGGACATATTTTTCAGCTTGAATATTGTTCAGTTTAAGACATGTAAGTTGTATTGCAATTGTACACTGAAGTGTTTGTAGACACAGTCTTTGGGCTTGTGGTGAAAGGCGCAGACTGCATGTTGCAGTCAAGTGAGGTTTGAATCTGAGCTTGTGGCCAGGAGCTGAAACACTCTCTTCTGTCTCTAGGTTGCTTTCTAGTTTATGACAGAAATCATTTTCATCATACCATCAGCTAATGTTGTTAATGTTGTTGTAATTGGGACCATGTGAAACAACAGACGGGAGTTGTTTTGATTCTATTGATAATGTTTCAATTGGCAGCTGACGCCTTGCCTTTGTTGTTGACCATGTCTTCTACCATCCAATCATTATGCTTGATTCTGATGTTACGCTTGTCCATCTAATTGCATCCAAGTAACAGGAAGCAGTGCGCAAGGCAGTATGCTGATGCTAAGACAAAGATATTAGACATGTCACTGACCGAAATGTTCCTGGAACTCTTGGAATAATATTTGAGTACAATGGGAGATATGCCAGCTCGCACACACAGTTGAAAATTGTCTTTCGTTAAGGGGAGGTAAGTTTATATGCTGATTTTGAAATGTAATCATGAAATATTCTGTGGTGAATCACGAAGGACTTGAAAGAACTGAAGACACTCCTTCTAAAACTCAGGTGAATGCTGGTTTTCTTCTCGACTTAAAGACCTGTGTGGCTACTTTACCTTACATTCCACTAGCACTTAAATACTTTTTGCAGGTAAGTTTCTCCTAATGAACAGTTTGATTCTTGAAGTTTAGGATTGTATTTAGGAGGACTTCTGTCAGAGTGGATTGGTCCGCAGGTGAACTTCAAGAAGATTGCTATGGTTGAGATCACTAGGTATGAGTGACCACTGCCTTGGAAACTGGAGGTGACTGATTTAGAAATGTACAAAACGGTTTGATCTGTACACTGGTTTATGGATGTCAAGAGTCTGGGTGTTAACAGGAAGTTTGGGCTGGTCAAAGAAAAGAAGCAACAGACAGTGTCTCCTTGCCTTATTCCAGACAATCACAAAGCCATTATTGGAAGTTCTGTTTTTGAACCCACTGTCATCTGGGGCCCATTTAACAAAAAGATCTCAGTGCTATGACCCATTTCAGATACTTCAACATAGACTTACGACAGCTGTAATGGTAACGTCACTGGAACTGTTGTTGTACAGGTAATCTTAGATCTAAAGTAATCGTAACTCCATACCTTAACATATACAGAAGTTACGCTAAGATCGCTGGAACTGTGCCCAAGAGGTATAAATCTTATCAGTTTCCTTGACAGTAAAGGAAGTTCCACTAGTCTAGCGAAAAAGTGACACCTGTTGATAAGATTCCATGGACTTACAGATGCATTTACATTTTGACTCAGTTTATTTGACAGCCATCCAGCTTACTGGAAATAAGGACATTATCTAGAGTATTAAACCCAGTTCAAGATCCTAATATCTATACATGTATCCACCCTGTTCTCAGCAAGATGTTAGCTGTTAAGAGAATACTCATGAAAATCATGGTGCATTATTGGTACTCTTCATGACACAGCGATTCGGTTCAAGGAACAAGATTATTCTCTTGTATTTTCTTGGCATCTGTATATTATACTTTCCTGAAGGCTTATTTAAACGAATTTGTAGATAATCTCTAAATATCTGTACATTTTGCTTGAGTTATGGCTTTAAAATGCATATAACCTCCCCAGCCGTATGATAATGTACATATAGAATATTGGCTGGCGGAGAGACTGTAAATGTGTATATTTCTATCACCCTTCATCGCAAGTAGTCGCTTGTTTCATCTCATACAGCATGTATGTGACTATAGCCACATGTTCATCTGTTAACTGAGGCCTGTTGTTCATTGGTCGCTACACAGACAAATTCAAATAAGGGTTGAGCTGTTCGTCTATTTGTTGATCTGATGTTTATTGGACATTATTTATTTTTACAAAAGAAGACATTAAGTTCATTCCTCAGATTATGCTAATTAGTTACTTGTGCCACTTTGTGCCATAGCTTTCTGTGTTCTTAAAAATAATTGGACCCTTTTAATCCACAATTTATTTAGACCAAAATTTAGGTTAGTATCTGAAACACTGGTTCAATTCTGTTAAATAATTCATTGTAATAGACTGTTCAATTTGATTAATGACAGAATGAAATTATGTGAAAAAATCAGTTGCATGACTTCAAGCGTTTACAGTTTGCAGATCATTATTCTCCTGTTGTCTGTGTAGAACCAGGCCAAAAACACAGGACCCAGGTTATCTCCCCTGTGTTACATTATGTTCTCACCCCCTCAGTTATCTCCCTTGTTTTGTAGCATGCAGCATTATGTTCTGTTAAGTTTTTGTTCTTTATTATTTGACACGAAATCATTGATTGTTGAGAAGGTATAATTGCCGTCTCAGACTGTCAGGATACTTTGCCAGAACCCAATCATATTCTGATCTACACGGAGCATAACAAGGAGAAAGAAATGGTTTCTGCTTTTGCTCAGGAAACAATTATTGAAAAGATGGTAGATTATGGTAAAGAAATTCAGAGCTGACTTCTGGTGTTAGTTCTCTTCCTAATTAGGTTTGGATGTTTTTCAGTCCAGTTAGACATTTCATGGTGGGAAGAAAAATGGTATTTGTTTATGAAATTAGCTTTGTTGAGATTGAAGATGAAAATCAAATACTGTGTATTGTATTTAGGAAATATAGCTAAAGAAACATTTCCAAGCTGGTGGCCCATACACAGGACCTTTTCTGACGCAATTTCATCGTGCTCAACGTTTACTATGGGTCTGCAGACAGGCCAGGTTCAAAGGGTGCGGATGTTGCGCAGGCGGTACTTAATAATAATAGATTCCTAGAATTGACAGTGAGGTTAAATGAAGGTCAAGGTTATTCTGAAGATTGTACAAGTTTATATAGCAAAATACATGCAATGTGACTGGTTCTACTAGTCCTGTCGGAGATTGACCTTCCCTCCGGAGTAACACAATTTGTCGTGTACACTTGTCAGGGTTATTTGTCAAGCTCGTGAAAATTCCATCATCTATGCAGATTAGGTGCCTTGAGAAATTGCGTACCTGAGCAGGCTGTGTCGTTCATCTAAAAGCAGATAGGCCAGGCAAGGCAGTGAGAGCCGGCAGACAGCGGGAAGAGCACGGGTAGACCAGCAAGCCAGGAACAAGGAGGAACGAACACTGACCAACCAATCCAGCTCATCTACTGCCCAAGTGTCGATCCGACTTCGCCGCCTTCCCCCGCTAGTCTCTGTCGGACTCTGTCAGACTGTTCGCCCTACCCTACATAGGTGTACTGCGAGAATAAAAACACCCATTCTTTGTACGCAACTAGGACGTTTGAAGAGTGAGTAGACGCCGGGCAGATTCACAAGACCAGTGATGCGGTGTGTTGGAAACGACCATGGATGCGGCTTATTGGAAACGAGAGTTGAGAGCTCTTTAATGATCAGTGTACTTGAATACTGTACACTCGAAATATCATGCTTTTGGTTAATTCAAAAAAGTATCTGATGAACGCGATGCCCGAAAACTTGACATTATGTATTTCTGAGTATTTGTTTAAATTGCCCATTGGCAGTGAACACAAAGGCAAATGTTTGCCATGGGAGATTAATAAAAAGCATAACATTATGACTATCATTCTGTGGATGGAATGTTTGCAGTTTTACTGCAAAGTGGACGTGCAGATGAGAGGTCCTTGCAGAAATATTTCAAAAGTTATGTCCCTGTTTATTCCAGTATTGCATCTTTTAAAAAATAATAATTGAAGTTAACTCAATGTGATTGACATTTACGACTGTTTGTGATATGTTTAGTTTTTCCTTTAGAAAACTCTTCAAACTTTTCAAACCGTTTTTGTATAAATATTGCTCTGTGGTAAACCTTACTTCTGTTTGGATTTAATTTAAAGCTGAAGAAATGTTTGCTGCATTGCATGCATTATCATTTTGTTTATAATTCCATGGTGTTTGAGGGGCGGTGGGGTAGCCTAGTGGTTAAGGCGTTAGTTCTTCGCGCTGAAGACCCGGGTTCGATTCCCCACATGGGCACAATGTGTGAAGCCCATCTGGTGTCCCCCGCCGTGATATTGCTGGATTATTGCTAAAAGCGGCTTATAACTAACTCACTCACTCATGGTGTTCGACTTTATTCATTTCGTTTTCGTAACCTCTAGATTGTATATACTAATGCGCTGTTGGAATATGGACAACAAAGTGTTCCGGAGTCGGATTTTTATGCCCCGGCCATATATGGCTGGGGTATATAGGGTTACCCTCCGTGTCCGTCCGTACGTGCGTCCGTCCGTACGAAACAGGGAATGTACTCTATCCACTTTTCCACAAAAAAGCTCTGTGGAATTCAATGTAATTGTACATGGGCTTTCTTGGGACTCTAATGGTGTGCATCTCATATTTTGTTTATGTATTTTATTGTTGTTGTTTTTTTGTAAGTGTAGAGACATTTGAACTTAAGTACATTTTGCTGAATTTCTCTATGATGATAGTGTAATAGGGGATGAAGTCTATCCACTTCTCCACAAAAACTGCTCAACAGAATTGAATGAACTTGTACATGCCTTATGTCTTTCGTTGGGACTCTAAAGGTGTGCATTTCATAATTTTTTATGCAATTTCTAAATTTTGTCACTTTTACAGATGTTTAAACTTAGTTGAATTTTGTTCTATTCAGCCTGTTCGTTCCATATTATAGTACTGTCGGAAATAGAAAAAAACTGTTTTTAGGCTGTTACTCTGTATCCCTAAAATTGACACAATTGCAAATAGCATATGTCGAAATAACCCACTTCGGCCTAACTGGGCGTTCAGTGGGATGCGTAATACGATATCCAGAAAAGCATGTTTACTCGTAAAATCGGGCAAAACTTAGAAAAAATACGAATAGCTGCTGAAAACAATAGATCAGACTATAGATGGCAATTAGGTCGCTCAGCCAGGTATGACGACGGACCGTCGACTCACCTGGCATGAAATGCACGTGCTGCCTACAGGCACAAGGGGTCATCTCAAAGATATTTTGTGCTTTTTCATGTGTGTTGACTATGTCTCATCTACTGATTAACATCTTACGTGTCTTTCTTTCATAAAGTTTATGTTGAGATATGTAAGAGAGTATGATACCCGAAAACCATAGAAACGCATCGTAGTATATAGGTGGCATGACCACCCGAAGATCGACAGGACTGGATATTATTTGTAAATTGTTATGACGTGCCGTGTACCTCCCCAGTATAATTGCCCTAAAGGATTATCTTATCTTAGCTGATATCTCTATCCCCAAGCCCGACCCCAGGTTTTGCTTTTGAGGCGACCCCTCCTATCTGTTTCTTTTTATAGTGACAGTGAGACTGCATGGTAGCTACATCCTTAATAGTTTCGGCATAAAAGTTATTATTTTTTACGTCAGCTATCGTTTATAATGAATCTACGTCTAATTTCAAATTGGGCATTTAAAAAGTGTCCTTTGTAATACAATATCGTCGCACACTAATTTGCATAAAGCCATGGTCTGTTCCAAATAAGTCTTTTTGGACTTAGAAAAAACCCGCATTGCTCATTTCTGCACTAATTTCCCCTCAGTAAAGTCCTTTTTCTCCGTTTCCTATCTCTCTACCACTGAGACTGTAGTTAGGCCGAACTTAGTTTAACAGATATTTCACACTTTCACATATCAACTACATAAATTGTAGAGATAAATGAGAAAATACAGTTTTTTTCTATTTCCGACAGTACTATAGCAAAATATATTGCGGCTCAAGGTTTTACTTGTACTTAGATTTTTATTTGAAAAACATTCGCTTTTTTAGCCACCTTTCTGCAGTGAGTCGTCCAAAACGTGGAAAACTAATGTAAGTGAAAAAAAGGACAAGTTATTAGTCGTTTGTCAAAAAATAATTATTTACAATAATATTAAAGTTTCAAGTAACTTTGATATTTGCTAAATCAAATTGGCCAAAGAACTCCCTCGTCCTACCTGGGCCCCGTTCCACAAAGCGATTTTAGCTCTACGATGATCGTAAGTCCATGTTAACGTACTGGAGTTACGATTACCTTAACGCCAAGATTGCTTTGAGGAACGGGTCCCAGGGTGCCGTTCCACAAAGCAACCGTATCGCTACGCCAGTCGTAAGTCTATGTCAACCTATTGGAGGCACGGTTACCTTAACGCTAAAACGCTTTGTGGAACTGGTTCCTGGTTCTTCAATCAATTTTTGATTACTTTTTTTTATTATGGGTTTTTGGCTTTGGTAGTGCGAATCCGTAAAATATCGAAAAGCTAAAAAGGTTTTACTCCACTCCATGTCATCAGACGTTGTTTTTGTCATTGAAGCTCATGTGGCTTCCCGTACGTTAAGATGTCTGTCTAGGATCTTTCTTCATCAGTTAGCAGTCCTCTGACGTCAGCTGCCTTACTTAACATGCTTTGTTCGGAAGTTAGTTGACACAGCATGTTTCTCAAAGAAAATGCAAAGTTCGCAAAATGTATTTTTCAAAGGAAACTATATAAAAAGGAACTTTGACAGAGTGATCGTTTGAATGTAAACATTATTTTACTGAGCTGTCTTTGATATTGAGAATGAAACAAATCATAAACACCGACAACTTGTCTTTGATGGTTGGAACAAAAGCTTTCAGTGGACCAGCCATGTAATACATCCAGAGTCCACAGTCACCTTGCTGATAGAACTTAGGAAGTACTTGTTTGTTGGTTGTTTAACGCCGCACTCAGCAATATTCCAGTTGTGTGGCAGCAGTCTGTAAATAATCGAGCCTGGACCAGACAATCCAGTGATCAACATGATATCAATCTACGTAACTGCTATACAACAAAATGTGTCAACCAAGTCATCGAGCCTGACCACCCGATCCCGTTAGTCGCCTCTTACGACTAGCATGGGTTGCTGGAGATCAATTCTAACCTGTATCTTCACGGGTTTTAGGAAATCTGTGGCCGCGGATCGGTTCCTGTTTAGTATTACACCAGTTTGGGGCGATGGGGTAGTCTAGTGGTTAAAGCGTTCTTTCATTGCGTCGAGGGTCATGGTTCGATTCTCCACAATGGTACAATGTTTGAAGCCTATTTCTATTATCTCTCGTCGTGATATTGCTGAATTGTTTGCTTCTGTTCGTAGTCATTTTCTCTTCTTACTCAATCGAAATGAAAATATAGTATTGAATTGTTTAAAAGTATCATTGTTTTGAAGCTTATTTTAAGATTTTTATCCCGAAAATATTTGTCAAACAACCATCACAAGAATTCAATAGCTTACCTTAACATATAGTGAAAGCATGTCTTTCTCTCCGTCCGTTGGTTCATCTTCTTTGCAAACATAAGCGAAAATTTGCACAGATGATCCTAGAGCGTGTGTCTTTCTTGCGCCATTCCAGTCCTATTGCAGACAATGTTACCTCAATAGTCATGTGTACCTTTAACTTTTTTCTTGTACCCCTTCATCCATTATGGTATGAACTGTGG